GGCCCCAGCATGCACCTGGCCCGAGGGTTGTTCCCGGCAAGCACTGGGGTAGTGGGCAGTGGTTCCCGGCATGCACCGGGGCAGTGGCTGCTGCCTCCAGCTCTAAATAGTTTGGGGTTGGCCGGGTTCCCAGACTGCACTGGAGCACTGGGCTTTATGCCCCCACATCCAGTGCATTTGGTGGGTACTGGGTTCCTGGCCTGCACTGTGTCGGGGGCACGCACTTTCAACGCGCACTGGGGCGCAGGTTCCCCGCCTTCACTGAGATAGAGCAGTGCCTTCCTCGTTGCCTTGGGATCGTGGACCCTCTTTCTCAGCCTGCAGCTCCACTTGGATCCTAGCCAATGGATGCTGTACTGCCTGGGGTCCCCTGGACCCTGTGTCCCCCATAATGAACCTAGGTCTGGCATAGCAGTGCTTGGCCAGGTGGGTGCAGAGAGGGGAGGTGTGATGTGGGTCTGTGCCCCTTCCCCCAGTATAGAGCAAATGCTGGCCGCCAACCCGGGCAAGACCCCGATCAGCCTTCTGCAGGAGTATGGGACCAGAATAGGGAAGACGCCCGTGTACGACCTTCTCAAAGCCGAGGGCCAAGCCCACCAGCCTAATTTCACCTTCCGGGTCACCGTTGGCGACACCAGCTGCACTGGTGAGGAAGGCTCGGGCAGCCTGGCCGGGGTGTGCATTCACAGGGCCCCATGGCTTTGTTTCTTGGAGTCTCTCTCTTCAGTCCTCTTCTCCAAGGCCAGTGAGGGAAGGAGAGATGTCAGGGGAAAAGCCACTGCCTGGTTTGGAAGAATAGGGCTATGAGAAGGTGGGTAGGACTTGGGAGAGTTAGAGGAGCCAACACGACGGCCACAGCGATCCAGCAGGTCCTCATCACCCTAGAAGAAAAGTGAGAGGAGCTCAAGTGAAATCTCAGTGGAGTATTAGAGGGAGGAAGTGCCCACTGTGCTGGGCTCTGTTCCAGGTGCTTAACCAGATTCCCATTTAATTTTAAACCTTTGTCTAACCAGATGTCAGTGGCAGTATCTCCATGTTGAATATGAGGAAACTGAGTATTTGAGATATTAAATGACTGGTGCTAGGACACGTGCCTAGTCAGTGGCAGAGCACGCTTTGAGTCCAGAACCTACCCTGTATTTTTCCAACTCTCTATTTATTGAGAGAAAAGAAAGTGCTTTGCAAAGGAGAGACGCTCCACCCCAGGTGTTGGAGCTCAAAAGTCCTGCCTGGCATGGCACGATTCTGGGAGCTAATGGAAAGATAAGGGCCCTTCGTTCCAGCAATCAGTAGAACACCGCCAGCCTTCAACAGAGGGATGCTGGGCAGAGGGGGCTTGATTGACTCCTTCTGGTTGCGAGGAGAGAGGCTGTGGGATGCTGGTTTCTCTTCCGTCCTTCCAGTGACCTCCAGTATTGCCACGTCCCCTCTCTCAGGTCAGGGCCCCAGCAAGAAGGCCGCCAAGCACAAGGCAGCTGAGGTGGCCCTCAAACACCTCAAAGGGGGGAGCATGCTGGAGCCGGCCCTGGAGGACAGCAGGTGAGGGAGGGGCAGCCGAGGCGTCCCAGAGCCCTGCTGGGAACCCAGGCCCCTGCGCCTGCCACCCCCTCTCCCCAGGCCTGGCCTCTTCCCGAGAGTTTCCTCTGGACCTGAGCAGGGTGCTTCGGGGCTTCTGCTGCTGTGAAGAATTCAGGGGATGGTCAGCCTCCTCGAGGGGTTGTGGCTGCAGTTTGGGGCCCAGGTTAGGGAGGGAGACGGGTGGAGGCTGAGGCTGAAGGGAGTTGCTCCCCAGCATGCCTCCTCGTTCAAGCAAGATGTCCATCCTTTTTCCACACTCAGGTTGGAGTTTGTTGCTGCCATGGTTCTTGGGTTCGAAGAGACCCTCTTTTCTGAGACCTCCTTTTCTCAGTCTTTTTGATCCAGTGTCTGGCAGCAAAGAGCCCCAGGAGGAAGCTGTTGGTTGGGCCTCCCTGAGTCTGGTCAATTGGGAAATTCTCTCAGGGGCTGGGCAGGTCGGGAGGACCTGGTCTCCCACCCCTCTGCTCCCCCTGCACTTGGGTGTGAATCGAAGGCCCCCTTCCCCTCGGGAAGTTCTTTTTCTCCTCTAGACTCTTCACTGCCTGAGGACCTTCCAGTCTTTACTGCTGCGGCGGCTGCTACTCCTGTCCCATCTGCTGTCCTAACCAGGTATCTTGTGTCCTGAGTGCCTGAGTGAGGAGGAAGGGGTCCGGGCTCCTGGCCCTCAGCCCTTGGACCCAGGGTGGTCAGGCCTGAGGAAGGCCGAGAGGAACAGAATGGAATAGTTGGGGACCAGAGCTTGAGGAATTTGCAGCAGCGGGTAAGCTCTTGGGACAGGAGGTAATTTGCAATTCCTAAAAGCCTTCGAGATGATGTCTGACCATGTTCAGTGGTCTTGCCAGCCCCACTTTCTTCTGGGTTTGCCATGCGATGGTCCTGCGTTTGAGACCCATTAATGCTTCTGGGGACCAGATGTACAGCCTTCTCCCGCCGTCCTGGCGAGATGGTACCCAGGTGTTCCAGAACCGAAACAAAATGGGCCTAGGGCCTAGGGGAGGCCTCCCTCGAAGGGGAGGGCAAGGCCAGAGCAGGAAGACGCAGGCTAGATGTTTGGACAGACAGCTGCCTGTCCCAGGGGGAAGCAGGAGGCGGGGTGGCGGGAAGCCAGCGGGGGTCATGGCAGCCTTGAAGGGTCCGTTCCCATCAGTTTTGGCCCTGGCCCATTTTTCCTTCAGGAGCCCCCCCGTGGAGATGCAGCCCCCCGTCTCCCCTCAGCAGTCTGAGTGCAACCCCGTTGGTGCCCTGCAGGTGTGCCCCACCCTCATTTCCCGTGCATGCCGGTCTGCCACTGACCCAGGGGCCACTCGGGCAGGTCATGTGTGGGGGGGATTGTTGCCCCCTACCGAGGCCCTTCCCACCCCCTGTGTCCTTCCCCTCTCCTAGTGTCTGAGGCTCCCAGGGTGGGAGGGCGAGTGGGTGGGTGCCAGCCTGGGTATGGGGAGCTTTTCTCACCCAGCCGTGTGCACCCTGCGTCTCCCTTGCAAGGAGCTGGTGGTGCAGAAAGGCTGGCGGTTGCCAGAATACACGGTGACCCAGGAGTCCGGGCCAGCCCACCGCAAAGAGTTCACCATGACCTGCCGAGTGGAGCGTTTTGTTGAGATTGGTAACTGGGCAGGGTGGGGGGATCTCACAGCTCCTGTCCCGCAGCCACAGGCGCTCTCAGCCTCACTCCGCAACACCCCCGGCTCTCCTTGCATCACGGTCCCTGGCTCAGCCCCTTCCTTCTAGCTGCTGCTTTGCACCCTGTCTTTCCCCCTCTCCTCTGGCCAGCCAGGTTCTCAGGTGCGTGGGCAGGTCCTGAGCTCCTCTTTCCAGCTGACATCCTTTGGGGGGAACCTCAGTGCACTTATGACCTGGGTGGAAAGCGTGGGGTCTCGGGAGTAACCCAGCAACCCTCTCCCTCACGCAGGTAGTGGCACTTCCAAAAAGCTGGCAAAGCGCAACGCGGCGGCTAAAATGCTGCTTCGAGTGCACACGGTGCCCCTGGATGCCCGGGATGGCACTGAGGCAGAGCCTGATGACGATCACTTCTCCCTTGTGAGTGGCTTGTGGGGCCGGGCACCATGGGCCTCCCTCCACGCCAGGCAGGTTTCCAGGGACTCAGGCCTGTGACTCAGCAGTGAGCCTCGAGGGGTCCCACGCCTGCCTCTGTTCTCCCAACCACTGGCTTGACTCAAGGCCCGCCCTGTGGGCTGGCCAGGCTGGGGCCCTGGAAGGGTCTGTTACTGGGATGGGGAAGGCTGCCTGGCCATCTGGCTCAGGGTCAGTGGTTTGAGCAGGCCCTGCGGGGACTCGGGAGGCGGGCTGAGGAGCTCTTCTTTGGGCTTTTCTCTCCTTGGACATGGACTGTCTAAATCCCTGGGCCCCACGGCCTCTGGCCGTCTTTCTCACTGCCCACATCTTGTCAGGGTGTCAGCTCTCGCCTGGATGGACTTCGGAACCGGGGCCCAGGCTGCACCTGGGATTCTCTGCGGAATTCAGTGGGAGAGAAGATCCTGGCTCTACGCAGTTGCTCCCTGGGCTCCCTGGGCGCTCTGGGCCCTGCCTGCTGCAGTCTTCTCAGCGAGCTCTCTGAGGAGCAGGCCTTCCACGTCAGCTACCTGGATATTGGTATGGCTGGCTGGGGAGCTGGGGCGCGCGGGGGCTGGGCCAGAGCGAGCGTGGGGGCCGGCGGGGAGCACGATGCCCTGATGCACCTTCCCCGCCCAGCACCGCCTCCCTCCTCTCTCTTGGTCTCCAGAGGAGCTGAGTCTGAGCGGACTCTGCCAGTGCCTGGTGGAACTGTCCACCCAGCCGGCCACTGTGTGTCACGGTTCTGCGGCCACCAGGGAGGCAGCCCGTGGCGAGGCTGCTCGCCGGGCCCTGCAGTACCTTAAGATCATGGCAGGCAGCAAGTGAAGGCCTGGCCGGACTCATGGACGTGCACTCTCAGCTCCCTGCTCTTCCTGCCTCTGGGCCCATGCACCTGCCCAGCTCTGGCACCCTCTGTGGGTGCGCTCTCTACCTCCAACACAGACTGCTGCCTTGAGGCTGAGGAAGGCACAGGGCAAGGAGCCAGGACCACAGGGCATCAGCAGCCCAGGATCCGCCCTCATTTTATTGGTGATGGCGAGTGGGAATGAAACCGGAGGCTCTCCATAGGGCCCCGAATAAACGTGCTGCTCCTTGGATTCGCACACCCTGCTGTCTCCGAGTAGTGCGGGTGGCAGAGGAGGTCAGCACGCGTCGCTTCCTCTGTGGTGCCTCCCTGGGCAGCCCCTGCCCTCCCCACACATTCTTGTGCTTTCTGGTCTGGTGGCAGGAGGCTGGGTGCGTCAGCTGCGCTCCCGGGGGCTCTGGTTTGGTGGAGAAGGAGGAGGGCAGTGCTCCCTGCCCTGGGGCCCCCCACCAGCCTTTAGAGTCTCACACAGACACACGTGGGCTCAGAAGCCAGGCAGCTTTATTTGGGGGACTCACACGGCACTTTTGGGTAGAGGCCTTGCATGCAAACACATCAAGGGATGACACGTCACTTCTTTCCAAAGCGTTGGGGGGCAGCCCGACTCCAGAACTGGGGGCTCAGTCCCTCGCCAGCCCGGGGACTCAGCCGATTGTTGCTCCAGGGTCCCCGGGTGTTTCTGCCAAACCTAGGGCGAGATTCGCCTTCAGAGGTAGGTTCCTTCAGTCTCTCCCTTCTCTGCCCCTCCCTTCCCTTCCTGTTCCCTGCCCTGTCGCCCCCAGCCCCTGCCATGTTTGTGTCCCATTAGGACTCACCTCTGGGGCTGAAATAGGAAAGCTTGGCTTCGGCCAGGTCTCTCGATGGCCTGGAGCAGGGAGTGCAGCAGTGACCTGGGGGCCTGGGCATCCCGGGGCAGGCGGGGTCCACTGTCTTCCTCCTGCGGGGAGGGGGCATCCGGGAAGGAGGGTGGGCAGATGCCCTGGACACTTAGTCACAAGGGGAGGGCAAGTTGGAGGTGGCCAAGGAGCCACTTCCTCAGATGTCTTCCTAATGAAGACCTGGCTGAAGATGCTCGGAGGAGTATCTGAACCGGACGCGTCTACACGGAGGTGGAGGGAGGCGGTGGCACAGGGATGGGCACTCACCACTGGGACCCAGTCTCCTTCCTCGTGGCCGCCTGGCCCTTCGGTGTGGCCCCAGCCTACCAAGAGCAGCAGCACCAGCAGCACCACGGCGCGCCTGGGATCCATGCTGCCACCCGCCCTCCTGCAGCCACGCCAGCCTCTTATACCTGCTGTCCCTCGTGCCTCCCCCTCAAGGCAGCCTGAGGGGATCTGGAGCAGGCAATGGAAATGCACGGCGCCATTAGGAGTCGCCTGGGACCCCTCCCTCGGCCCCCCCGGGACTGTCTGCTCTCAGCCTCCGGCCCTCAGCCCCTAAGCCTGGAGTTATAGACTTTATTAGATGCATAAATCCTGTCTCCGGAGCTCAAGAAGCATCATCAATTGCAGGCGTTTTGTCAGAGCCAGGCCCTGGGGGGCCTTACAAGAACCCCCAATCCCTCAACAGGTTGGAGAGCTTCCATCCATCACCTCCCTCTTTCCTAACTTGTAGCTAACGCGTGGAGAAACTCCTGTCAGGAGGGTTAGGTGGCGGGTCCCAGAATGGAGGAAGAGGGAAGAGCTGGGTCAGGGTCGGTCGGCGTGACCCAGCCTGGCCCGGGCAGCCGTGGGGACCCCACAGCCCGTCACACCTGCTGTGTGACTCTTAGACAGACATGAAATCACTACTCTGAGATTTGCCTGTGGGTGGGAAAGTAAGACACAGGAAGACGACAGCGTTTTGGAGCGTGCAAGTCGGTGTGGCTCCGAATCCGGGCAGACCCCATCTTCAGAGCCGCGCTTGGGCCTTCCTGGGAGCGGCCCTCCACTGCTGAAGCGCTGCTGCCACCCGGTGGCCACAGCTGCTCACTGCCAGCTCCGGCCATCTCCTTTTCCTAGACCAGAGCTCTTTGCAGGAGGGAGGAGGGGGCAGAGGTCCTAGAGTCCTGACTCCCAGGAGCCCCGGAAGGGCAGAAGCAGGACACTGTGGGGCTGGACTCTGGTTTTGTCCCACCGCCCTATGGTCACAGCCTCGGCCCAGCTCTGGCTCACACATCCCGGGGTAGACTGGATCCCTGTCTTGGGAAAAGTCAGAATCACCCATCAGGGAGAGGAAGTCCCCTGCCAGATTTCCTGCTAGTCTAGACTCCCCTCCTGAGCATCCCCAGCAGCGTGGGCCTCTGGCCTATGCCAGAGGGTAGCACGATATAAACTCAGCCTTGAGCAAGCTACCCACCCATCAACTTGTTCCTCACTAAAACCTGGGCACGTTAGGAGCCACTTCCCAGGGTGAGCATCATCTGAGACACTTTTTTGTAATCAGCTCAGCAAAGGATCTGGCCCAGAGCAAGTATCCTCAGAACATTTGCTGTGATTACCTGCAGGTCCAGCCCCGGAGGACTTACCAAATCTCCTGGGTCAGTCTGAGGACATTAATCCTTGTGCTGAGGAGCTTTGGTCTCCCTGTGGCTTCTCCCAGGGGTCTTAGTTTGCTCCATGAAGTCTCACAGAACATCTCCCATCTCTCTCGTGTGAGAAACCTTCGGATGTCTGGAGACGGATTTCATTCTTCCAGAGTCTTGTTTGCTTAAGGGAGGTGCCCCTTCTTTACGGCAAGGCCCCTGGGAGCCGACTAACACTTTAGACATGTAGATTAGAGCAGCCTTGGATCGGGATGTTCTAGACACTACATTTCTATTAATGCAGCTAAGCTAGGATGAACTTTTTTGTAAGCTTTGTCTAGTCTTTGGCCCCGAGCCTCGAACTGACATTCATCGTCATGACATCTTGTAGTTCACTGCTTCTTCAAAGGGAGCACCAAAGTCCACGGGGAGATGGTTCATCTGTGGAGAGTAGCTCTGCATCCCAACGTGGTCCTTGTCTGTCACTATTTGACTGAGGTTCGGGAGAGCAGGGGTGGGAGGACATTGCAGAATGGCTCTGGGCCAGACGGACCTCAGTTATTTTTTACTTTTTTGAGTCAGAGTCTCACTCTGTCACCCAGGCGGGAGTGCAGTGGCACGCTTGTGGCCACAGCAGCCTCGACCTGCTGGGCTCAGGTGATCTTTCCGCCTCAGCCTTCCAAGTAGCTGGAACCACAGGCATGTGCCACCACGCCCGGCTAATTTTTAAAAAACTTACTGTAGAGATGAGGTCTCACCATGTTGCTCAGGCGGGTCTCGAACCCCTGAGCTCCCCTCCAGACTTTGTTTTAATCCTAGCTCTTGCACTTCACAGTGTGACTTAGCTAAACCTCAAGTCATCAGCAGTAAAATGAAGCAACTACTCCTGTCTAGAGGTTGCTGGGAACAGGGCGACATTCTCCCCACGGGCCCAGCATCGGGCAGGCACTCCATGCTTACCACCTGCTGCTTCTCCTGCTGACGCATCTCTCAGATCACAAACTACAGGTGTTCTGCGCTGAGCCATGACCAGAAGGGGCTGCTCCACCTGGCCTATGGTGCCCAGGATGGACACAATGGTTTCCCTTGAAGTTGAAACGGGTGAGTCTCTCTCATCTAGTAAACTGCCTGGCCTTCAGAGTGCACCTCTCAACCGTGGCTTTCAGCAACGTCCTTCCTCGCCCTTCTCTGGACCCCCCTGTGCATCATAACACAGTGAAGACCACCACTGCTTTTCCTGCTCTCCCAAGGAGGCTCAGGCTTTCTGTGCCAGTTATTTGCCAAACACCAGCCAAAAACAGCTTTTTTTTTCTTTTTTGAGTTGAAGTCTCACACTGTTGCCCGGCTAGAATGCAGTGGCACACTCATGGCCACTGCAGCTTTGACCTGCTACTCTCAGGCGATACTTCTGCCTCTGCCTTCCAAGTAGCTGGAACTACAGGTATGCACCACCACACCCAGATCATTTTTTGATTTACTGTAGAAATGAGGTCTCACCAAGTTGCCCAGGCTGGTCTCGAACCTGCGGGCTCAGGCCATCCTCTTACCTCGGCCTCTCAAAGTGCTGGGATTACAGGCTTGCGCCACCGTGCCTGGCCTGGCCAAAAACAGCTTCCTAAGTCATTTCTCTCCTACTGGGAAACCTCAGAGACACCTGCTGTTTCTTCTGTCATCAGCCTGGCTCCTTGTCTTCATTGTGATGGTATTTATAAAGGAATACACAGACGCAGGAAATGAGTGATCTTTCATCTTCTCCTTACTCCCAGGTGTCTCTGATCATTACTTGTTTTTCTTGTGAACTCTGATCTGCTTCTAAACAAACTCCACCCTTCATCTCCAGACCAGCCGCCTCCTCACCGTGGAAAGCTACACTTTCTATGTGTGCAGTTCCCAGTCATGCTGAAAACTTTCCCAAGGTAGGGCTTTTTTTCCTTAATTGTTGAGTTAGGGGTGGGGACAAAATACTGGTAAATAAGAGGCCACTCGCCTTCAGCCACTCTCCCCTCCCCCATCCACATAAAGCACACTCCACTCAGTTCTCTGGAGAGTGCTCCCATGATGCCACGGGCCCTTGTCTCCAAGATCTGAGCTGTGGTCCTCATGCCTCTGTCATGCTTTGTAATTTATATCAATTGTCCATCTTCTCTAGGTTGTGTCTCCTCTACATAAAAAGCAGGGATGAGAATCCCTGTCCTTCTGTCCTAAGAAATGGGGGAGTGAGGAAGACGACAGACATAAAAGCCCAGTGAGCTCCTGGAATAGCAGACACTGGGCCTTGTAAGATCAGAGTGGTCAAGCATCAGACATAACAGCAGTTCTCTTGATAGTTTAATGTTATATTTGCAGCATAAATAAGGCACAATATATGCCAGGGCAGGGGAGGGAGGGAGAAGGCATGGCGGGGGGATAACTGCTAGGTGGCAGTGGAGAGGGGAGGAGGGACGGTCAGGGAGAACGAGCGAAGCCCCTGCCTCAGCCCCGTCCCGGGAGATTGTGAGAACCTGCTCACAGAGGTCATGCTGAATCACGGGTGGGGGGAGGAGGGAAAAGACAGTTTTGTAACAAAAAACAAAATAGCCTGTAGCACTGCATCCTCCTACCTGTCAAACTCCACCACTGGGGACTGGGGAGACCCAGACCCAGAGTCGAGTTCCTTGATGAGATGGAGAGGTGTTGCTACATGTCAAAAATATATAGATGAACAGAGATATAATCATAGCTACACGCTGCTTTCTTCTCAAAAGACACTATGTCAGGATGTGGCAGCCTCCGCTGCTGGGGCTGGAGGCCCACCTCCTCCCTGCCTGAAAGGTATGTGGGTGGGAGGCACAGGACAGCGAAAGCTCCGGCTGGTCCTTTTGTAACCAAGAACGTGGAGTGACCAGTCTGCAAGGGAACTACAGGACAACTCCTGTCCAGACCTATGCACGGGCAGGTTTGAGGGATTAGGCTAGCAGGAAGACAAACCTAGCTTTTTTAGATCCGTGATGTGGCGGTGGTGGTTTCAATGGGAATGGAGGGAGGGACTGGAAGAAATAGAGAAATGTTAGTGCTAAGGCAGAGGAGGGTATTTAAAATATCCTCAACACCCTGAAAGAATTGCCCAGCTTGCCTCTAAGGCAATGGTTCTCAAACTTTAGTGTGTATCAGAATTACTTGGAGTGCTTGTTAAAACCTTCCCGTAGGCTGGACATGGTGGCTCATGCCTATAATCCCAGCACTTTGGGAGGCCGAATGAGAGGATCGCTTGAGGCCAGGAGTTCGAGACCAGCCTGAGGAATATAGCGAGACCCCACTTCTACTAAACATTTAATAATTAGCTGGGTGTGGTGGTGCTAAAGCTACTGAGGAGGCTGAGGCAGGAGGATTGCTTGAGTCCAGGAAGTTGAGGCTTCAGTGAGCTATGATCATGCCTCTGTACTCCAGCCTGGGTGATAGAGCCAGACCCTGTCTCAAAAAAAAGAAACAAACAAAAAACCCTACCTCCAGAATATCTGATCCAACAGGATGGTGCCAGGAGAATGTGCATTTCTGAAAACTCCCAGCTAACGCTGATGCTGTGGGTCCTGGAGCATATTCTGAGAACCACGGCCCTGAGGGGAGGGTAAGAGAACTAGTGCTCACAGCCACTTCTCACAGTGGAAACACCCCTTACCAGTAGCTAATGCTGGTGAGATGCCCCTGTGGTATCAGCCCTTGTTAAAAAAAATAAAAGAAACCCTAGTAGCTATGATACAAACCTGCCCTACTTTTCCCAGGCTTTCTCATTCTAGGGTAGGACTTTACCCCAAAGAGAAACAATTCAATGGGGGCAGAGGTGGGACTGTCGGCCAGCAGCCAGCAATGCTCACTCCCACTGGTTCACCACCCTGGGGTGGGTGGGTGGGGATTTACATCTGTGTGCACATTTGTGCAAACAGAAACAGAGAAATCAGTTCTGTACTATGAGGGATAACTAGGGTTACAGGGGGCTGTATGGGGTGGGGGTTCCGCTAACCTGCCTTGGAATCTGCACCTGCCTATTCCTCTGCAACCTTCACCCCCATCAAATGTAAGTCTAAAGAAAGCAGAAAGAGCATATCAACAAAGGCATACATGATATGGCTAGGAGGACTGGAATCTACACAGACTGGTTATGAAGGTTTTTTTTTTTTAGAAAGAAGTAATATATCCCTTCCTGTGTATACAATGTACAATATAAATGGAAAATAATTAGGGGATGGGAAGAAAGCTATGAAAGAAAGGGGGACATTCTTGTGGGGACAGCTGTCTCGGGGGCTAGCACCTTGAAGGAGCCTCTCAGTGTGGAGCAGGGGAGCCTCAGAAACCACAGGAAGAAGTTTCTGGTGTCTGCTTGCTGGTTTGGGCTGTAGACAGTGCACAGTTACGGGTAAGCACTCCATCGGCCAGAGCGGGTGGTGCGGGAGGGCACTGAGCAGGAAAGGAGCCGAGGACAGCAGGACAGGGACGGGGAAGGCAGCGGGGGAGGCTCGGTCAGCCTGGCTCCTCCTTAGCCACCGCCTACAGTACATGGCTCAGGGCCAAGAAGAGGAGTGGGGAAAGCCAGATTTGGGGTATACAACAGGGAGAGAAAAAGGAAAGGAGGTATGACTTTTTCTAGCCTCCCTCGTAGTTGAGAGGCTTTCTCAGACTCAACTCTAAGCAACCTTTCTTTTAGGGGAATGGCTCTCAGACGACCTGGCTCTGGCCCCTTTCTCTATGGCCTTGGGTATCTAGCAGCTAGCTGTGTCTTTGGAGGCAGGAAGCCTGAGTCCTGTGTTCACCCAAGAGTTCAAGACATCCACACTCTCAGCTCCTTTTGAAAAGTGTCCTCTCTTAGGCCTCTAAAAAGGCCACGGACCTTAAGAAGGACTAAGTGACACCCTCCATGATGTCTGGTTCTGGTCCAGATGAGCGTGGAAGACACAGACCAGGGGAGAGTGACCACATGGCTGGCAGCAATAACAAGGTAAGTGACATTCCCGTTGACTATAAACTTCAAGTAAGTAACTGCTCTGCCTTGTCAGTGAGACCGAGGACCAACTCAAGTGCTGCCTGGGGTTCAGTCCTGTGCCCTCCTCGTTTCAGGGCCACTTCACTACGACAATTCTGGCAGTGCTCCTTGTTAGGTCCCTATCGTAACTTCCCACTGGCAGAAGTGAAATAAGGACTTGAGAGAATTTGACATGAGAGCTAAGAAGCCAAAAATGACCCTCGTACATTAACTACCCAACACAGGGACAGACTGGCAGGGCATGAATTCAGTGACAAACTGACTCTTAACTTTAAAAACACTTGACTGAAGGGGGAAGAAAAATAGTCAAGGGTCTTATGAAAGCTCCTTAGGAGCCATAAACTCAGTCAAGCTTTAGGGCAAGGCTGCTAGTGGGAAATCAAGACAATAAAAAAATGAAACAAAACTCTAAAGCGGGAGAAAATCCCAGGGGGCAGCCTTCTAAAGGAGAAGTCCTGAGCACAAGTTATGGCTGTGAATTTTTAAAGGCAAGTGAAGTCCCTGGAGGTGGTAACCTGGATTCTGACCATCTGCCACAACATTTGCTAGTCTGAGTCACTTCAGGGGCTGTTCCTGTTGGGTACCTGGTGCTAAAGGATGAGAAAACCATGTTTTCTCTCCTTTGTCTTCACCAGGTGTGGCTTGTTCAGCACTGGCTCTGAGAAGCAGGAGGGGAAATTGAAAACAAAAGCAGCAGAACACGTCACCTGACTGGCTCGCCAGCATATCACTCTAAGGAAATGGGAATCTTGCAGCTTAGGACATTTTCTCACTCCTCTATGACAGCCAATTTTGGAAGACAAAATAAGAAAGGAAGCCGGCAGTTATTTTGTATGTATGTTTAAGATGGAGGTAGGAGAGATGGAGAAAAGGACATTCTTGGCTTAGACAGATGGCAGAAGGTGGCTCCGGGACAGTTGGAAGGGTTTCATACTGAAAGGCTATTAAAGCTGACCTATCTATCCACAGGCCTCTGGCTTTAGATTGCTTCCTATGGCCCTGGTAGAAATTGCATAGTTCCGAGCCAAGGGAAGATGGGAAGTCCTAAAATGGGTAAGAAAGAGGGAAAAGAGATGAATTTCTCCCTATGCAACCCAACTCTTCAAAGTAAGAACAGTTGAGAGCAGTAATCATCAATTTCCCAGGCATGCCAGACCTTGGGCTGCCCTGCTGAGGTCAGTACTGCACCTTCTTTTTCCTCTTCCTCCCTCTACTCAGGCATATACCCAAGAAAACCCACTTGGGGCCTTGGCTATGATGCTTCAGAATCTTAGAGCTTGTACTAGGGAGAAGCACTGAATTTAGGGGGCAGAGAGCAGAAACGAGTCGAGGAAATTTCAGGACCAGGCAGACCTAGTGGCTAGGCTAGGAACCTAGTAAAAGAGAGAGACACCAGAGAGTGATGGGCATTTGTGACCACAAGATCTTAGCTCAGAAATGTAAAGCAGAGAGAAGAGCAGAGTAAGAGAACTCAAGAGTCCCCTCCATGACAACCTCCAGCAGGCCTGCATCTCAGCTAGTCTAGAAGAGGGACAGAGGCCATAATGTTGACGAGGCAATGAAGAGGGAGGGGCAGGGCAGAAAGATAGCCAAAGATGACTATATAAGGGGAACCCAAAAAAACTTGAAATTTATTTATAAAAAATTGTGTATTCTTACATGTTTAAATTTCAGTCACCTTCAAAGTACTCTCTGTTTGATACAATACACCTATCGAGATGCTTTTTCCACTGCTCAAAACAGTTTTTGAACTTGTCAATTTTTATCCCTTTTAGTGCTTCTGCTGTTTTTTGTTTCACCTCTTCTGCATCAGCAAAATGTTTCCACTGAGGACTTTTTTTCATCCAAGGAAACAAGAATAAGTACTTGGGGGCAAGATCAGGTGAATAGAGAGGGTGGGGCATGGGGTCATGCTGTTTTTTGGTCAAAAACTGAATATTCAGCACGGTGTAGGCAAGTGTGTTGTCAAGGTGGAAGAACGAGTCACTTGCTTGCTACAACTTGGGACATTTCTTCCACAAATCATGATGCAACCTTCCTTAAAACTTCCATATAAAACTTTGGTTGACCATTTGATATGGAGGAATAAATTCCGAGTATACTACAAGGGGCCCACCCTCCAAAAGATAATTTCGGTTTGTTTGGGTTCCCTCGTATGTATGCTTCGGCCAGTAAACTTTTATAAAACATCAATAAATCAATTAATCCATAACCTGACAGAATAAGCTTTAAACTACATTGTTCCTGCCAGCCCTGATGATTAGAACTGAAGGAGGAAGGAAGGGAGGAGAAGAATCAGTCAGTCAGAATCTGGGCTCTTTCCCTTTTCACTACCAAACTATCTCTAAGAATAAGGCCACAAAATGAGGTTGCCAAGGCCTAGCGGGGAGGTAGAAAGACCCCACCACTAGACTAGGTAAAGTCAAGAGACAAAATGAGGTACTCATATAGCTCTGGAAATAGATGAAAAAGAACTGGAACTCTTGGGGTTTTGTTTTTTTCTTTCTTTTTTTTTTGGTGGCGGGTAGGGAGAAAATTAAGCTTATGGAAGAGCTGCAACATATTGCTATTTCATACATCAAAGGTAACCTTACATTCTCCAAAAGTGAATGTTTTCACTAGAATTTAGGAAGGGGAAAAGGGATAAATAAGCAGTTACTGGGAGACAAAGTCCTGAGTCCATGGGGTGGCTGGGGATGCATCAGCGGGTGATATGCCATCAAATCTAGCCTCCCTCTATCTGCAGAAAGTGGCATGCTGGTAAGGAACAAGAAAGTAACAGCCACAGCTTAGTGGGAAGAGAGGGAATTGAGAAACCCCAAACCTAGAATTGCAAAGGTTAGTGTTAAAAGAAACAGATACACGTGCATGGGGCGGGGTGATTGTTCGGACCATCTGGAAAGGCCTTTGGCTGTGGGTACATCAAAAACCCCACCCTTAGGGGATGATCTGTGAGGCTCTGGGGCTGTGGAGGCCCCCAGTACAGGTGTCAAACGTACATGATCGCGTGGCTGAAAAGCCCACATCTGTTCATTACTCACAACACACAGTTTCCCCCCATATTGCCACATTCAAGGCAGATGGGAGGGGATAAGATGACATCTCTCTTGGCTCCTGGGCGGGCGAGCTCTGGCTGGGGACCTCTCCACCAGGGGAGGCATCATCTGCCCGCAGACTGGGACTGTGGGGTCATGATCACATGTGACTGAATTGGCATGCTCAGTTCTGTCCTTTGGCTGGCCATCTGAGTGAGGACCGAGGTGGCCACAGCTTCAGCTGCAGAGCGAACGCTGAGGCCATTGCTAGGGGCTGTTGCTGAGCTGTGCTGAATCACGGGGGCTGGAGAACCCGTTGGCTCAGAGCTTTCCTTGGGACTTTCTGCCAGGAAGGAGGGCAAAGAACAGAGAACACGTGGTTAGAACACAGAATGGGGAATGACACAGGATTGCCTTTTGCCATAATTGTAAAGGAGCCCAAAGGAAAATGAAATTGATCATTTTTTGGGAAAAACGCCCCAGAATCCTGGCTTCTAAGTCATAAATGGGCTAGGAAATACAAAGTTGTAAGAAGGGAAGAAGAATTAGGCCAAAATTAACCCATTTATCCCAATAAAATAAATCGCTAATGTGTTAATTACACTGTCTGGTTTCTAGGTCTTTGCCCCTATTTAGAACACTCTTCCTCTTGTTCATTTCTTTAAAGGTGATTTAAAACAGACCTCTTTTTATCCTCTCTGATTAATTCCAACAGGAATTGAGTCATTCCATTAATTTTTATGTTCCTTTAGCATATAATTGTACCACAGGTAAGACTGATAAGTAATCAAGCTATAATCAAATGATGTTATGAATGACCAGTCCCTCGACAAGGTGCAGTTAACAAGTAAAATGACAAAGAAGCCTGTTAGACCCTCCTATCAATTAGCTAAGCATTAATCATTTAAAACATTTATTATAAGCCATGCCATTCCATGTAAAGTGACAATACATCTTACTACTAAACACAGGTATCTGAGCTGTGTAAAATAGTAACTCTATGCTGCTTATAGTCAAGAGCTTTAATAAACAGACAGACTCTACTGCAGCTTAAACAGATACATGCAGTAGGGCACACTTCCAATAGTCGGTTGTATTTTTGACTACCTAACGAATGCTTGAGTCTTCTTTGAGGATTCAGATACTGCCTCCTCTGTGAAGCCATCTTTGTCACCCTCAGAAAATTGTTTCATCCTTTGTGTTTTTGGAGTATATATTAATTTATTCATTAAACACTGACTGAACATCACCCTTGTGCCAGGCACAGGAATACAGAGAATAAGACAGGAACCCTATCCTCAGAAAGCTCCTAATCCAGTGGCTCCTTGACTGGGATACTGTCCTTACCCCATTCATGAGTTTATGTGACCCCATGAGTCTCTCAGAGGTAGGGATGATATTTTGTCTTGTGTCAAATAATATCTATCCCACACAGCAGTAACTAAATACACCTTTTGCTATAACAAATAAGTAGTTTAATGGGTTGAACTACCAGTCACGGTTCTTGCAAGGACTGAGTAGAAAACTTTCCGAATATAGATTACATACTGATAGAGACTCAGTCCTTGTCCCCCTCAGCCCATCAACAGGATCTGAAATAACTGGTCACTAAACTTGTTGAAACACTTGTCTTGATTTACAGAACACCACCTTCAGCTACTTAGCTAGTTCTCCTCCTACCTTCCTGGTTGTTTCAGTCCTTTGTGGGTTCTTTCTCATTTCTTGGAACTCTAAATTTTGGACTACCCCTATGTCCAGTCCTGGGACGACTTCTTTTTTTTTCTCTTTTTGAGTGGAATCTCACTCTGTCACCCAGGCTGGAGTGCGGTAGCTCACAGTCATTGCAGCCTCAACCTGTTGAGTTCAGGTGATTCTTCTGCCTCAGCCTTCCAAATAGCTAGAACCACAGGCGTGTGCCACCACACCTGCTAATTTTAAAATTTTAATGTAGAGATGAAGTCTCACTAAGCTGCCCAGGCTGGACTGCTCAGGCAATCCTCTTGTCTGCGCCTCTCAAAGTGCTGGGATTGCAGGCATGAGCCACTGCTCTGGTGACTTATTTTTTCTTTTTTTGAGTTGGAGTCTCACTCTGTTGCCTAGGCTGAAGTGCAGTGGCATGCTCACGGCTACTGTAGCCTCGACCTGCTGAGCTCAGTTGATCCTTCTGCTTCAGCCTTCCAAGTAGATGGAACCAAAGGTGTGTACTACCGTGCCCAGCCAATTTTTAAAAAAAATTTATTGTGTAGACAAGGTCTTGCCATGTTGCCCAGGCTGGTCTTGAACCCAGTCAAGACCAGCCTGGGCACAGTCCTCTTACCTTAGCCTCCCAAAGTGCTGGGATTACAGGCATGAGTCACCACGCCCAGTGACTTCTTTTTTTCCATCTATGTTCTCTCCCTTGGAGACTTCATCTGGTTTCAAGGCTTTAAAAACTAATGATATGCTTCTGACTCCCAAAGTTGTTTTCTCTTCAGCCTTTCTTCTGAACTGCAAACCTATATAACCAACTGCCCAACTGCCTGCTTGACATCTCTGCCGGCAAGCCTAATTAACTTCTTTTTTTTTTTTTTGAGTTGGAGTCTCACTCCATCGCCCAGGCTGGAGTGCAGTGGCATGCTCACGGCCAACCCAGCATCAACCTGCTGGACTCCAGCGATCCTTCCGCCTCTGCCTTCCAAGTAGCTGGAACTACCACACCTAGCTAATTCTTTGATTTATTGTAGAGATGAGGTCTTGTCAAGTTGCCCGGGCTGTTCTCAAACCTGCAGGCTCAGACAATCCACTCACCTCGGCTTCCCAAAGTGCTGGGATTATAGGCTAAGCCACTGAGCCCAGCCTCTAATGGCATCTTAAACAGCTTCCCCAAATCTAAGCTCCTGATATACTTCCCAAACCATTTCCTCCTATACTTCCCCGCCTTGACTAATGACAGCTGAGGTCAAAAACTTTGGTGCAAGTTTTGATTCTTCTTTTTCTCATATTTACCACCCCATCTGGCCCATCATCAAACCCTGTCACTCTAACTTCAAAATATAACCTGAATTCAACCTGTTCTTACCACTTTCACTACCACCATCCTGGTCCAAAGCTCCATCAGCTCTTGCTCATATTCTGTAACAGCCTCCTAAGTAGACTGCATGCTTCTACCCTTGCATCCCTGATGTCTCTAACAGAGGAATCTTGTTCAAATATAAATCAGATCAATTGTCACTCCTCTATTGAAAACCCTACATGGCCCCTGATGTAGTGTAAAAGCCAAGATGCTCACTATGACTGCAGAGACCCTACATGAAATGTTCCCACTACCTCCCCTCCATCCCCAACTACTATCCACGCCCAACTCCAGCCACACTAGCCTTGATGTTCCTAGAATGTACTAGGTACAATGCCACCTTGGGTCTTTGCATTTGCTGAGCCTCCTCCCTGTAGGACTTTTCTTCCATATAAATGCATGGCTGGCTCCCTCACTTCCTTCAGGTCTTTTTTTTTTTTTTTTTTGAGTTGGAGTCTCACTCTGTCGCCCAGACTGGAGTGCAGTGGCCGCTCCCAGCCACTGCAGCCTCAATCTGCTGGGCTCTGGTGATCCTTCCGCCTCAGCCTTTGGAGTAGCCGGAATTACAGGCATGCACTACCACGCCCAGCTGATTTTTTGATTTATTGTAGAGATGGGGTCTCGCCAAGTTGCCCAGGAGGGTCTCAAACCTGCGGGCTCAGGCAATCCACTCACCTCAGCCTCCCAAAGCACGGGATTATAGGCTGAACCACCGAGCCCAGCTCCTTCAGATCTTTAGTCAAAAGGCATCTAATCTAAACTTTCAGGCCTGCTGCCAACATTTCAGATTACCCTTCCCTGTTTAATTTTTTTCTTCTAGAATGTACTATTATCTAACATAACATATATATTTTACCAATTTATCTTGTTTATTGTCTGTTTCACCTACTAAAATATAAGCTCCTCAAGGGCAGGGATTTAATCTATTTAATTTCCTATTACATCCCCAGCATGTAAAATAGTGCCTGGCACAGAGTAAGACACTCAATCAATATTTGCTTAATGAATGAATATACCCTGAAGTACACATTAAAATTAACATTTAAGTAGAGATGTTTAAAATGAGTGATATGGTTACTCTTTTTCTTTGGGAACACATCTCTAAAATGATAAAGACAATAGAAAAATAATTCAATATATCAAAAATGTGATAGTCAACATTTCTATGAATTTAATTTGCAAAGGAAAACTAGTATTTATTAGCTTTTACTCCCCATAAGCAAATTGTTCACAGTAATTTTAACTTTAGAATTGTGCATGTTCTGAGCACAACTCTGTGGCCACTGCTTTCTAGCACTATTTTATGTGTGCTCATAGATTACAAACTGAAACCAACATCAGCCTATCAATAGAAAGATAAAATACGTCCCCCAATCCCAATGTATCATTTCCTGTTTATGTTTTCTCTAGGCCAAGATAATGTCTTTGGAATAAGAAACACCTGGATGTAAATCTTGGCCCCCCCCCCCCCCCCCACCACTTTACCAGCTGTGTAACTTCAGATAAGTGATCCAATCTGAGTGCAGTTTTCTCACATATAAATGTAGGTATTATCTATTTTGTGAGGGAATTTGGAAGATGGTAGTGTACCTAACACAGGCACCCAATAAATATTACTACCCTTCACCCCCAACTATAATAGATGGATTAGTTAACGCTACATGGTTGTCAAAAATATTTCTTGGTAGGGCTGGTTGCTCCACAAGGGCTCTTCACTCATTAGTCTGGAGTCACCAGAACGTTTGGGATGGGGTTATAAAATTATAAACAGTTGAGACAGTCAGTACATGCGGTTTTTGGACTGACTGACGTTGCTTAGGTTGTGAGCCACTCACCTAAATAGCCTTGAGTCTTTTTCTGTAGTGCAGTGACTGGGCAGTCTTTATGAGCTAACAGTAGCTGTTTCAACTGAGCCACCTCATTGCGTAGTAATGTGACTTCATTCTGAGGCAAGAAGGAAGAAAAGAGTATCAAGAACATTCATCCTCTACTCTTGGACCCCAGTGGCTGTTCTCAAAGTGAGGACAGAATGTTGCTTAGCTTTTCTCCCCACAAAATTGGAATAAGACTCTTCATCAGCAAGGTGTCAGGTAGCCCAATCCAGTATAGTCATGAATTCTGTGAAAGAGGTTGCTTACAGAGAAAAGTAGGGGTTTATAATGAAAAAATTACTCCTATTTAGGATAAATGTGATTAAACCAAAACCAGTAAGACATATGCTTTCAGACTAAGAAAGCCAACTTCTAAGAATCTCTTTTTTTTTTGAGTTAAGGTCTTACTCTGTTGTCAGGCTGGACTGCAGTAGCACGATCACTAGCTTACTGCAGTCTCTACTACCTGGGCTCAGGTGATCTTCCTCTGCCTTCCAGTTAGCTGGGGCTACAGGCACGTGCCACCAGGCCTGGTTAATTTTTTAAAAAATTGTGTAGAGATAAGGTCTTGCTGTGTTGACCAGGCTGGTCTCCACCTCCTGGACTCAAGCAGTCCTCCTACCTCAGTCTCCTAAAGTGCTGGGATTACAGGCATGAGCTACCAGCCCAGCCAATTTCAGAAATCTATTAATAGAACTGTCTACTTAAGTGGATGCAATGTTCATTGAAGCACTTCTGTTCTAGCAAAACATGAGAATAATATCAATATCCATTTCTTAACTATAAAGACACTATAGGATATACTGCTATATAGCTATTAAAAAGAATAATGTAAATCCTCCATACCAATGGCTAGACCTCCATGAAATACTGCGAAGCCATTTATGTTAAAACAAACACATAATCCCTCCAAAAACTATTAAAAGAAATTTAGAAATATGAATATGGGCTGGGCTCAGTGGCTCAGCCTGTAATCGCAGCACTTTGGGAGGCCAAGGCGAGTGGATTGCCTGAGTTCGCAGGTTCGAGACCCACCCGGGCAACTTGGTGAGACCTCGTCTCTACAATAAATCAAAAAAATTAGCTGGGTATGTTAACACACGCCTATAGTTCCAGCTACTTGGAAGGGTGAGACAGAAGGATTGCCGGAGCCCAGCAGGTCGAGGCTGTAGTGGCCAGGAGTGTGCCACTGTACTCCAGTCTGGGCGATGGAGTGAGACTCCAACTCAAAAAAAAAAGAAAAAAAAAGAAATATGAGTATGTCTGGAAGATACACACCAAATTTATCTATAGGGAACAGAATGGGACTGAGAAAGGCAGATTAAAGAGAGACTTTTTGTTTTCATTCTATATATCTCTGTGTGTATGTTATAACAAAAATTTATTCATATATTACCCTTGTGGTAAAATATTTTAATAAATCATCAGAAGTAGGGAAACTAATATTCAAGATAATGCCTGATTATAACTGTTCTATGTGTGCTCATGGTGTTTTTTCCTTCTTTTATTAAGCGGTATTATCTAGGGCAAAATTTCCCTTTGGGTGTTCATGACCTCAGATTCTACTGACGATAAAAGAGCACCCTGGGTTGCTTAATCTAATTTCCTTTATCCAAATGGGTCTATGGATGATTCATTCTAGTAGCAGATCTGGGGGTAGATGGTGAGTAGCTTTCCCATTCCCTTGGGAAGGGATTTCAACTCTGACTGTTAGAGATTCTTTCTGCATTCTTCCTGGCACAACTTCTGTATCTGTCCTAATTAGAGAATTAAAATCTTCTATTAATTACCACCTTCTATTGTTCCATTCTTTTCTGGTTTAATCCACTCTCCAGATTCAATCCCAATAATCATCTAGGACCCACTCACACTCAGCTGAATGTTCTGAGAAGTGAGCTCCTCTGCTTTCTTCTCTAGGGAGGACACCCAAAGTTTCCGTTTTTGGCGGCAGCGGGAGGCTGCAGCCCGGTTGCGCTCCAGAAAGCGCTGCCGTCGCTCGTCTGGATCTTCATCTACTGTGCGTCGCCGTCGCCCCCCGGTACTAGGGGTGGGCTGGGCTGGTGAGACCTGTTGCCCAGGAACAAAAAGGAGTTACTTATGGGAGCATCAGTTTTTTCCAAATCACATCTGATGTTAGACATATTAGTAAGATCTGATAATGATCTGGCAGAGAGATGTACCACTCTCTGGCACCTCAGTAAGTCTCATCACTATGTCCCTCAGCCTCTTTTTTGTACTAGTTCCTCATTCTGCCTCCCATTTCCTTCCAGTCTTCTCAAGCCCACATTTAAAATAAACCATAGCACAGTTGGAAACTCTTTTCTTTTTGTTTTATTTAAAGAAGGGGTCTCACTATGTTGCCCAGGCTGGTCTTGAACTCCTGGGCTCAGGCAATCCTCCCACCAGTCTCCCAAAGTGCTGGGATTACAGGCAAAAGCCACTTCATCAGGCCTCAGCTGGAAACTCTGATTACTTCTGAGACAAACAGACAAAATGAAACTAGGATCAGATTTTGTTTCTTAACAATAGGGAATCTTGGAGTCAGAAAAATTAGAATTGAGGGAGGGTGCTATGGAAACTTTCAGGGAGACTGTGAAATAAAATAGTTTGAGAATCACTGATTTGGTCAAACAATATGTACAAACAACTGCATGTTATAACATGTTTCAGAAAAGGAGAAAAAAAGTTTTTATTCATTTAACTACCAGTGAGACATGGGCTGACATGGGAGGAAAGAAATACATTAGTATACTTTAAAAATCTGTAATCAAGCCGGGCTCGGTGGCTCAGCCTGTAATCCCACGCCTTTGGGAGGCTGAGGTGAGTGGATTGCCTGAGCCCGCAGGTTCGAGACCCGCCTGGGCAGCGAGACCTCCTCTCTACAATAAATCAAAAAATCAGTCGGGCGTGATAGTGCATGCCTGTAATTCCGGCTACTTGGAAGGCTGAGGCGGAAGGATCGCCGAAGCCCAGGAGGCGAGGCTGTGGTGGCCGGGAGCGGCCACTTCACTCCAGTCAGGGCGACAGAGTGAGACTCCAACTCAAAAAAAAAAAAAAAAATCTGTAATCATCCTCAGTAGCACCCTCCCTGCCTTTTATTTACAAACAGAAAAAAATGTTTAATCCCTTTACAAATTGGTGACCTGGGACTATCTTTTGTTTTTAGACTTCAGGCTGAAGCCCCTTTCCCCTAAAGCACTTTTGGGTCATCTTCCCTTTCTGTGAGCTAGTATGCATTCAAAGAAGGCAGACTGTATATAGTAGTGGGCAAAAAGGAGAAAGATTAACCGCCTGTAGAATAGAAGTTGACCCTTGAATGACACAGGTTTGAATGGCACTTACACGTAGATTTTTTTCAATAAAAGTTGCACCAAGTGTGCCTGTTTCTGCCTCCCCTTCCAACACCTCCATCACTGCTGCCTCTGTCATTCCTGAGACAGCAAGACCAATCCCTCCTCTTCCTCCTCCTTCTCGGCCTACTCAGCATGAAGACAATGAGGATAAAAGCCTTATGATGATCCACTTCCACTTAATGGATAGTAAATATATTTTCTCTTCCTTAAAATTTTCTTAGTAGCATTCTCTTTTCTCTAGCTTACATAAGAATACAGTATGCAAAACATATAACATACAAAATATGTGTTAATCGACTGTTTATGTTTTTGGGTCAGTGGTAGGTTATTAGTAAAGTTTTTGGGGAGTCAAAAGTTATACAAGGATTTTTGACTGTGCAGGGGTCTGTGCCTCTAACCCCCACATTGTTCAAGGGTCAACAGTAGATAATGTAAAACATCAATTCTTCTTGGATTTGTTGCTAATAAGAAATATCTATCTACCTACCTACCTACCTATTTTTTTTTTTTTTGAGTTGAAGTTTCACTCTGTCACCCAGACTGGAGTGCAGTGGCCACTCCTGGCCACTGTAGGCTCGACCTGCTGGACTCTGGCGATCCTTTCGCCTCAGCCTTCCAAGTAGCTGGAACTACAGGTGCACGCTACTACGCCCGGCTAATTTTTTTTTGTTTATTGTAGAGATGAGGTCTTGCCAAGTTGCCCGGGCGGGTCTCGAACCCACGGGCTCAGGCAATCCACTCACCTCAGCCTCCCAAAGCGCGGGATTACAGGTTGAGCCACCGAGCCTGGCTTATTTTTTTTTAAGTTGGAGTCTCACTCTGTTGCCCAGGCTGGAGTGCAGTGGCATGCTCATGGTTATCCTAGCCTCAACCTTCTGGGCTCAGGAGATCCTTCCGCCTCAGCCTTTCAAGTAACTGGAGCTACAGGCATGCGTTACCACACCCGGCTTTATATTTTTTGAGACAGGGTCTCACTCTGTTGTCCAGGCTGGTGTGCACTGGCATAATCCTGGCTTACTGCAACCTTGACCTCTTAGACTCAAGTGATCCCCCTGCCTCAGTCTCCCAAGTAGCTAGAACTACAGGTACGTGCCACCATGCCCAGTTAATTTTTGTATTTTTTTTTTTTTTTTTGTAGAGACAGGGTCTTTATCTTATCCAGGCTGGTCTCAAATTCCTGGACTCAAGTGATCCTCCCACCTCAGCCTCCCAAGTGTTGGGATTAGAGGCGTGAGCTGCTGCACCTGGCTGGAATATCTGTATTTGTATTTCCCAAATGTCAGAGCTCATGTCAGTTTCATGAGAATAAGCATGAACTTATTAAAAATCAGAATCTTGTACTCTACTCCAGACCCAACTGAATTATGTTCTCCATTAATATAATCAAGAGATTATATTATTTATTCACACTAACATTACCTCTCCCAAAAGAAAAAAAAAGGAGGAAATATCAAATTCAATGTAATGAATTGGAGACCTTGGGTCACTGCTTCCCATTGTACTAAGGGAAGATGCTTTCTTAAAAAAAAATGTACAATAATTCTCCCAAGAATTTCAACTTCCTCTTGTCTTTAGCTCACCGGAACACATGTAAAGATTAGTGCATTTGAAGGAGAATGGGGGCACAGCTAAGTTCCTATTCTTTCACAGGCAATTCAGAAACTTAAGCAGGGAATGGAGATAAAAGAATAGGCCTAGTTGGTCAAGTGCAGTGGCTCACGTCTATAATCCTAGCACTTTGGGAGGCCAAGGTGAGAGGATTGCCTGAGCCCACAGGTTCAAGACCAGCCTGAGTAACTTGGTGAGACCTCATCTCTACAATAAATCAAAAAATTAGCCGGGCGTGGTGGCACACACCTGTAGTTCCAGCTACTTAGAAGGCTACTTAGAAGGCTGAGGCAGAAGGACTGCCTGAGCCCAGCAGGCTGAGGCTGTGGTGGCCATGAGTGTGCCACTGCACTCCAGCCTGGGTGACAGAGTGAGATTCAGACTCAAAAAAAAAAAAAAAAGAATAGGCCAAGAGAAAAAGGGTAAGAATGGGCAGGAATGGAATCAGTAGTGACTAAAAAGGAAGCCAAGTCACTTTCCTAAGAGGGAAAGCAATACCACTCAGGCAAGGGGGCTACTGCCTTACCAACTCTAGGACCAGCTTTGGTGGGTTACAGGAGGGTAGGCAGGCTTAGCTTTCAACAAGAACACTCAAATGAAAGCTTTTGTTGGCCAAGCTTTAAGGCGACATATGGCCGTGAAATATTTGGACATGTGGCAGTAACCGATGAAGCAGGTGGTGACATCAGGAAAAGAGGGGCTGGGCAAAGAATGTAACTCTAGAAACCAATCTCAGGTGTTGTCACCTGTCCAGTGCAGATGATATGAAAACTAAGGACTATTCAGTTTCCAAAGAGTCTTCTTAAAACTGAGATTGCCTTGAGTAGAGACTTGGGAAGGGAAAGAGATTCTGCTGGCTTTTCTAGAATTTTGATCTGTGATAAAAAGGGAATAAATTGGTAATGAGAAGGTGTTTTCTTTCTTTTTTTTTAAAAATATTTTTATTTATTTTAAAGATGTGGGGTACAATTCAGGATTAGATAGATAAATGGTCATTAAGATAAGTGGTTAGCCGGGCTCAGTGGCTCAGCCTGTAATCCCAGTGCTTTGGGAGGCTGAGGTGAGTGG